GAGCTGAGGAGCAGGGCACAGAAGAGCAAAGTCCATCTAGACATGATGTGGCTGGGCTGTCCAGTTCTCTCAGGAGTCTGCCCAAAGCCTTTCTACTGGCAGAGACCATGTTCTTGGGGATCCTTGTGTAAGAGATTATTTTTAAGACTTTAATCTCTTTAGTTGGTTGAGCACTCTATTGAGAAAGCCTGCATCTACCTAGTAAAACTAAAACATGAGTGCGATAAAGGTCTCTCCTTTCTCACTTATTGGGCAAGAACTGATGCCTGTGTTCATGCTTGGTCTCTCAGTCATGTCCGACACTTGGCAACCCCAGGCTCCTCTGTCCATGGGATTATCCCGTCAAGAATACTGGAGTGGGTTGCCATTTCCTCCTCCTGGGGATAGTCCCAACCCAGGGATCGAACCCTCATCTCCTGCATTGGCAGGTGGATTCTTTACACCCCTGAAGCCCCTCAAGGACTGATACAATCTATTTTAATTTGTTTCCAGAGTACCCGAAGCTCTTGTCTGAAAACTCTCTTTTTACTACCTCTCCTGGAGGTCAGCGTGCTACACAGAATAGGCATCCTTAGTGGGCCCTTAGGTTCTGTAGCATCTAGGTCACAAGCACAAATGTTTTAGGCTTTCTCTTGCTTTTCTGTTCTCTCATGTCTTTGGTCTTGGCTCTGTGAACTAAAGTAAAAAAAATTCCCGAAGATTCCTGCAGCAGTGTGTGAATTAGTCTACACTATGACCACCCCTGCGCCATAACCCTTTTAGATCCTGTGAGCGTTCCCCATGTTTCTTCTCCAATCTGCGTGTTGAGGGACTTCTTCAAACCCATGGTCATTTAGGCCTCCTATCCCACAGCTGTGCAACTGTGATCTCTGTGTCAGCCAGGCAGGTGCCCTTGGACATGGCACTTACTTACTATGTCCCTAAACTTTGAGCACAAGCACCTATTCTTGCTGCCAAGTTAAGACCCTCCTTGCCTTAAACTGACCATGAGCCTGACAATGAAGGAGCCAATTTTAACTTTTAATTGAATAAAAAGATAGGGTCTAGCACAAGGGTCATGGTCAATTACCTTTTTCCTTTTAAAACCCATTAACAATGCCATCTAACTCACTCTCCTGGGCCTTTTTTCAAAGACCACAATTTTATAAAGAGGCTACTGCTCTTTAAGTATTCTAACTACAGTAACTTTACTTTCCTTCTTTCATCTGATTCATCTGTTCTGCCCTGTCTGATAGATAGGGAGTATGATTTTTGTTGGGGAATATTTTATGTGGATAGCTCTCTGTCCAGAGTCCAAATTTCCACAGTTATATCATAAAGATAAAGTACAAAAAAACAGAGCTGTTTCAGTCATTGCTGATCTGCCCTTTAAATATCTTTTATTCAGAGAAGAATCAAAGGAATTGATGATTTGGGAGTCTGGGTGTTCACATCTCTTAAATATACCCCAGTATAGGCAAACAAGATTCTCTAATGCCACCATAGTTTACGTTCTCTTTACAAATATATAGGTGGCATATACGCCATACCTTTGGGTTAGGCAGATGGTTAGAGCATTAACAGTTATGATCAGGGAGGCTACCACAGGACTGATTTCTCTTTCCATGTTTCCCATGCTATCTAATGTTCCCTTGACCTTGGTTATATAGGATAATCTGGGCAACAGGGGACCTTTGTTATGGCAGGAGTTCATGCAGAAAAGTGTTGGCCTAGGAATGATAGGAGACTTTCCATGTCTGTTGGCTTAGATACTATCTGATTCAGCTTCTTTCTGTTGCCAACTAACTGTGTTCCCTCTGGGACCACTATATTTCTCCGTATATGGCAATGCAGTTTGATTCAGCTTTGTCTTCCTGGATTAATTCATTTAACACATATTTATTGAAAGCCTTCCATGGAGCTGGGCCTGGTTCATGCTCTGGAAATGAAGAGGTGACCACAGCTGATAAAGGGTGCTGTGCTGGTGCAAATGAGCAATAAACAAAGGATAAGTTAATTGCCAGTTGTATTAAGTGCTGGGAGGGGAAAACACAGGGTGACGTGATGAGTAAAGGAGAGACTATTCTAGATGGGATGGTCAGGGAACTCTCATCTGATTGGGGTGGTGACATTTAAGTGTAGTTAGTCACTCAGTCTTGTCTGACTCTTTAGACCCATGGACTGTAGCCTGCCAGACTCCTCTGTCCATGGGATTCTCCAGGCAAGAATACTGGAGTGGGTTGCCATTCCCTTCTGCAGGGGATCTTCCCAATCCAAGGATTGCACTCAGGTCTTCTGCATTGAAGGCAGATTCTTTACCGTCTGAGCTAAGCTGAGATCTAACTATAGGGAAAGAGCCAGTCATGGGAAGAGGATGGGGAAGGACATTTTATGTAGAGGGAATAATAAGGATGAAAGTCCAGAGGCAAGAGTTTTACTTGTTTAAGAAACAGAGATGCAGATGTAGAGAATGGACTTGTGGACACCGAGGGGGAAGGAGAAGGTGGGATGAACTGAGAGAGTAGCGTTGAAATATATACATTACCATGTGCAAAGTAGATAGCTGGTGGGAAGCTGCTATATAGCACAGGGAGCTCAATAGTGACGACCTAGAGGGATGGGATGGGGTGGGATGGGGTGGGATGGGGTGGGATGGGGTGGGAGTGGGTGGGAGGGAGGTTCAAGGGGGAGGGGATACAAGTATACTTATAGCTGATTCACTTTGTGGTACAGCAGAGACCAACCATTGTAAAGTGATTATCCTCCAATTAGAAATAAAAATAAATTTTATTTAAAAAAAGGAATAGAAAGGACGCCTTTTGGCTAAGGCATAATGGGGGAAGGGGAGAGTGAAGGCTGAGGGAAGAATCAGGAAGAACCAGATCATGCAATCTCCTGGAGAGCTGGTGCTCGGTGTAGAATTGATACTGAACGGAATAGGAAGCCATAGAAGCCTTAAACAGGTGAGGTATAGGATTTGCCTATCGAAGATCATCGCATCTGGTCCCATCACTTCATGGCAAATAGATGGGGAAACAATGGAAACAGTGGCTGACTTTATTTTCTTGGGCTCCAAAATCACTGCAGATGGTGACTGCAGCCATGAAATTGAAACACTTGCTCCTTGAAAGAAAACCTATGACAAACCTAGACAGCATATTAAAAAGCAGAGACATTACTTTGCCAACAAACGTTTGTCTAGTCAAAGCTGTGGATTTTCCAGTAGTCACGTATGAATGTGAGAGTTGGACCATAAAGAAAGCTGAGCGCCCAAGAATTGATTCTTTTGAACTGTGGTGTTGGAGAAGACTCTTGAGTGTCCCTTGGACTGCAAGGAAATCAAACCAGTCAATCCTAAAGGAAATCAGTACTGAATAATCATTGGAGGGACTGATGCTGAGGCTGAAGCTCCAATACTTTGGCCACCTGATACAAAGAGCCCACTCATTACAAAGGACCCTGATGCTAGGAAAGATTGAAGGCATGAGAAGGGGACAACAGAGAATGAGATGGTTGGATGGCATCACCAACTTGATGGACATGAGTTTAAGCAAGCTCCGGGAGTTGGTGATGGACAAGGAAGGCTGGCATTCTGCAGTCCATGGGCTTGCAAAGAGTTGGACATGACTGAATGACTGAATTAAGCACTAAACTAGTAGGATTTGCTTGTACTTAAAAAAGTCAATGATTCTTGTATAGAAAACAGACTATAACAAGGACCAAGATAGAACATGAATGCCAGTTATGAAATTATCAATATTTATTTAGGATACTGGGAATTTATCCTTAACTTCCTTGATGTCTTCAAGTGCTAGATCTTATTCAGCCAAGTGCCCCTGCTCTAGACGTCTATTCTTGCTGACTGCTGTTCTGGGGGGGGCGGGGTTTACTCTGATACGGCATTTATTCATTTTCCCATCTCTCCTTTCACCCCTTTCAGTCCATCCACCCATCTATCCATCCTACAAATGTTTATTGAGATGCTGCTATATGCCAAACCCAGTACCAAGCATATAGTTTCTTGCTCAGAGACATGTAAAGTATATTTATGGAGAGAGACCAATAAACATAACACATTATAATAAGGATTGTAATAGTATAATGTGCAAAGCACAATAGGAAACCTTTAGCAAGTAGCCAGGTAAGAATAGGTGATATTTGAATAAGATCTTAAAAGATAAATAGGAATTTGCCAAATAATAATCATAAAAGCTACTAGCTCTTTCTTTTTTAAGAGGAATTTTTCAAGTTTTATTTATGTATTTTAATTTTGGGCCACATCCTGCAGCATGTGGGAACTTAACTCCCCCACCATAGCTTGAACCCAGACCCCCTACATTAGAAGGTGAAGTCTTAACCACTGGGCCACCAGGGAAGTCCAAAAGCTACTCTTTCTTAAACTTAGGGGCTAAGCATTGTGCTCTGAACTTTATGTATGTTATCTCTCTTAATCTTTCTCCCAACCTAATAGGCTAGGTATTATAAACCTCATTTTATACACAAAGACTTGGAAGAACAGAGATCAAAAAACATTCCCAAGTCTCACAGCTTGTCAGTCACAGTCCTGGTAATCTTATGTCTGTATGACTCCAAAGCTTATGTTTTTAACTATATTATTTCTCTGTTGTCTACAGATAGGAGTATGATTTTTGTTGGGGAATATTTTATATGTATAGCTCTTCTGTTCTCGGGTACAGATTTCCATAGTTATTTCATAGAAACATAGTATATTCAAACAGTTTTAATCACTAGCTATTTCAGCCATTGCTGATCTGCTCTTTTAAGATCTCTGCTTTCAGAGGAGGATTTTGGGCAAGAGAGCAACATATACAAGGCAGTGAGGCAAAGAAGAGCATTGGCGTATTTGAGGGAGATCAGGGATTTGGGCTGGAGTGGTTGAGGGTGCAGGGGTAAGTTGCTGGCCAGGATGGGACTGAGGCAAGAGGGCATCACACACCCTACTGTGATTTTGTCTTCCTCCTGTGGGCAAACTCTGCAGTCAGGCCATCGGCTCTCTTTCTTTACAATCTGGAGAACTGGATCAGGTCCTGATTGATCTCAGCAACTGATCGGCAACCTAAGAAAAGAAAAAAATGTAGTTTAAAAGCTCATTTCTCTGAAACCTCAGTCACCACCCCACTATGGGGGTAGAAACAAGCCTTGAGCCTTGTCCTCACCCTACTAAGATGTTATACGTACAGAACATATCCCATCATTCTGATTACACTGGGGATTGTTCTGTGAGCCTATCTGTGCCTGTGTCCTCTTTTAAAACAGCCATGGCAAAATGGCATGGGAAAAAGGAAAAGCAGTATTTCAGCCTTTTGAAAAGTCAGTTTGTGTGCAGTGAAAACACCTGACTTGTATTGCCATCCAGATAAACCCTGGGGCTTTCCCAGCGGCAGAGAATCCGCCTGCAATGCAGGGAATGTTGGTTCGATCCCTGGGTCAGGAAGATCCCCTGGAGGAGGAAATGACAACCCATTGCAGCGTTTTTGCCTGCAGAATCCCATGGCCAGAGGAGCCTGGTGGTTATAGTCCATGGGTCACAAAAGAGTCAGACGTGATGGAAGCAACTGCGTACACTTTGGATAAGCCTTCAGGAGGCAGGAAGTATCAGTCAGGAAGGACGAGGGCTCAAGGAAAGCAGACAAGATGGGGTGAATGTTTCATACAACTGTCTTCTAAAAAAAAGTTCTGAAGCAGAATATCTTTCTTTAGTGGAGGATCTTAATTAAAGTGCAAAACTGGACTGTCATAGAGATGAGACACAGGAATTGAAGAGAGTGACTCCAGATAAGATGCCAAAAGAGAAGGGAGAAAGAGGTCATGTCAGCTGCAGAACTGTGGACTCAGGAAAATTCACCGGTGATAAGAAGCTGAGTAAGACAGCGTGTAATATTTCATAAGTTCTTCCCCATCTGTGATGTGTGTATGGTTATCTCCAAAAACCCAACTAGAAAACTGTATTATTTGCAGAGGTATATTAATGAGAGGCTCTTTTTCCGAAAATGTAAGCAGAGGAAAGAGTTGAGTTTTATGTCTGTGTTGATTATTTGTGTTTGTTTATTCAAAGTCATGTCTGAATCTTGCGACGCTATGGACTGTAGCCCGCCAGTCTCCTCTGTCCCATGGGATTATCCCAGGCAAGAATACTGGAGTGGGTTGCCATTTTCCTTCTCCAGGGGATCTTCTCAACCCAGGGATCAAACTCGCGTCTCCTGAATTGGCAGGCAGATTCTTTACTACTGAGCCACAAGGGAAGCCCCTGGTGTTGATGATAGGTGACAGGAATGGCAGGTGAAGGATGCATAAATAACTCATAAAATGAACTAAGTCAGCAGAAGCGGGAATTTGGAGCCAGAGGTGCTCTCATCAGAAGTGACAATGATTTTGACAGCTCTGGGTTTCCACAGGGCAGAGAGCTTTGGAGAGGGTAGATTTCCTCAAGGAGCACAGAGATGCTAAAATAGAAACTGCTGATACATTATAGTAGAAAGAAATATTTAAGCTATGTAAAAATGTCTCAGTAGTTGCATCAAAGTGTGTGATACCATTTTGAGACACTGAAGCATCTGTTCCCATTTAAGCCCTGGTGCTATTTGTGTACTTGTTCTTTTTATCAGTATAAGCTCATCAGATGGAGTCTTGGTCCACATAGTACCAGGGACATTGCCTTGTTCTTGGTAGAGGTTCACTAAAGGTTTAAGAGTGAATTCACAATTACAATGTATTCTTGTTTTTTCATTACTGTAAATTAGGAGGATATTCACACTAAAACACTTTGGCTAAATTAAAACAAAGCAGGTAATTTTGAGCAATAGAACTCAAGAAGATTCATATACTCTTCTGTTTCAGCCCCTGCCCCTTACAAGAGATGAGACCTAAGTGAGGTCTGTGCACACATGATTTATATGTGCACAGTTTTGTTTTCCAAGGCAAACTGGGATTGTAACATTCATATATACACAGTTTTGGCATATGGTCTCACAATTAGGAAAAGATGATTTCTAAGCTTATTTTGATTTCACAATAGTGCAGATAGGATTCTCTTCTCAGGGCTGCGATGTCACAAGATCACTGAGGAAAAATGTCACACATCTCCAGGAGAATTAGGATAGAGAAGTCATATTGACTGATCACCTCCTGGGTGCTGGTTTTGTGTCAAGCATCATACATGCATTGTGTGCGGAAGAGCTAATCTTGGACTGCAAGGAGATCCAACCAGTCCATCCTAAAGGAGATCAGTCCTGGGTGTTCATTGGAAGGACTGATGTTGAAGCTGAAACTCCAATACTTTGGCCACCTGATGGGAAGAGCTGAGTCATTTGAAAAGACCCTGATGCTGGGAAAGATTGAGGGCAGGAGGAGAAGGGGATGATAGAGGATAAGATGGTTGGATGGCATCACTGACTCAATGGACATGGGGGTTTGGGTGGACTCGGGGAGTTGGTGATGGACAGGGAGGCCTGGTGTGTTGCGGTTCAAGGGATCGCAAAGAGTCAGACACAACTGAGTGACTGAACTGAACTGAACTTAATGTGAAATTCTGTGGGGTTTCACATTATGATTTTCTATTTGAGTGAGTTCCACCAAAAACACAGCCCTCCTCACCTGAGACCCCCTTCTCCCCAGGGACCAGCTCGAGGAGTCTTTCCTGCGGGACCGATACTCACAGAGAATGCTGAGGGATGCCCTTCAGCTTAAGTTTTTTCTTCTTTCCCTTCTTCCCCAAACCCTCCTGCCCATCCCATATTTGGTTGTTGATTAGTCATTCTTTCTCTGCATTTAAACAATACATTCTCATTGGAGAAAAATTAGAAGGAAAGGAATATAAAAAGTTAGGCATAAAAGTATTCATCATCCTGTTTATTCTTTCTTTTTTTCCTGACCCCATTTAAAAAGAGTGCTCTCTACCCTCTGTTTTAGAAAAAGATTTTCCAGCCTCTATTTCCATCCCATTGGTTGTTAAGTATAAACTTTTGGTGGAATAAAAAAGCTTTGTTATTGTGAATCCCCCCGCCAGGCTTCTGTTTTAAAAGTTCAGACATAGTATCACAAAGACAGGAGAAAATATTGGGGGAGCAAGAGAAGTCACCTCAACCTCTTGGAACCTGCAGAAACTCCTAGATCTTCCCATCTCTCTCTCCCTCCCAAGGGCAAAAGACATCAACACAATATCTGTCCACACTTGTGCCCTCCTCACCCTCACGGGAGAGACTTGGCAACCTTGGGTTATTTATTGGCTTATCTTCATAGACATTGGCCCCAAATGGACAGTCCTGGTCCTTGATGCCTTAATCCACTTCCTCCCATTTTTCCTATTAATCTACTCAGTTGAAAGGGACTGGCATTAATGCTGGTCTGAGTTTTCTAGCTTATACTATTTAAGCTCAAAAGGCTGAGGTCACAGCCCCAAGGAACACTATGTAGCTTGGATGCTGAGTACAAGATGCTTGTCTAAATAGCTGATGAAAACCAGACTAGAAAAGACCTGGACACCTCTCCTTAAGCCTGGCAGATGGCAGACACTTGGTAGCTTCATCTGTGGAAATAAGTCAATGGCACAAAAATGGTCTTGACTCCTCTTCAGAGCTCTTGATTCATTATTTTGTTACTTCTGGAGGAAGTTTCTGTTATTACCAAATTTTAGAATTGAGGCATGAATGGAGGTCTTATTTGGGTTTATCTTGTCTGCCTCTCACATTATAATCTGTTACCATCTACAGCAGACAGAGACAATCAGAGACAGAGCTACTGATGACTGGCATTTGGGCAGGCCAATTTTGTTTGAGACAGCTCCAAGCATTTTAGGACATTCAGCATCCTTGACCCCTGAGTACTGAATACCTCCAACACCAACCCTGCATCATTGTGCCAATGAGAAAAAAAGATAAGCCACCCCCCATCCCCAAACCAAATGATTCTGAAGAGGGAAGTTACCATCATTAGCCGAGAATCACTATTTCACAGGATCACTGGATTCCAGTGATCACATGGACTTGCTGAACACATGTAAGTTTTTATGAGCACTGCTTTACAGTCATCTCAGTTTTGCCTGATACCTGCCTGTGTGTAAATTTGAGACATTTGAGTTTGTCTTGCTGACTGGTTACCTGGATGATGTTTCTCCTTCTCTCTGTTCTGTCAGCCTGCTTGCTTCCACCTCCCCAGCTCCTCCATGCTTTCCCCATGACTTAATTTCTCTACTCTTCACAATCCATGAATCTTACTTAAAGTTCACCCTCAGAACTACATCTGACAAGTTTGATGGGATCTGAGCAGGCCAGAGTGAAATGGGACCCTCTTTACCACAATCTGAAATTGCATTTGCTTTTGTAGCAGATGTATCACATTCTGAGTTTGTACTTGACTGGCTCAGATGGTAGAGAATCCGTCTGTAATGCAGGAGACTCAGGTTCAATCCCTGGGTCGGGAAGATCCCCTGGAGAAGGAAATGGCTGCCCACTCCAGTGCTCTTGCCTGGGAAATCCCACGGACAGAGGAACCTGGTGGGCTTACAGTCCATGGGGTCACAGAGAGTCAGACCTGACTGAGCGACTAACACTTTCATTCCACTTTTGTCTCGGGCATTTCCTCTGCGCCCTCTCTGGGTTTGGGGGAGGCAAGTGAGAAGGAAGGACCCGAGCTTCTGTTCTTTAGACAGCCTGCTTTCAGTTCTGAGTTAGTAAAAGAATGGTAAAAACTTACCTGTCAGGGTCATGGAAGTGTGGAATTCATTTTTTAAAATATCCAAAACTTCCTTAACACCATGTTCACCCTGCTCACAAGACAGAGAAAAGAGGAGACACGGAGAGGCGTGAAGGAACATCCTGACCACAGGCTGAGTTTCAGTACTAAGTGAGGGGACTTCCCTGGTGGTCTCTGGAAGACTCCATGCTGTCACTGCAGGGGGCCTGGGTTTCATCCTTGGTCAGGAAACTACATCCCATACACCTTGAGTTCGTGTGCCTCCGCTAAAGAACCCATATGCCACAACAGAACTGAAGATCCTGCGTGCTGCAACTAAGACCTGGTGCAGCAAAGTAAATAAACATTAAAAAGTATTTCTAAGTGAGCTCAGAGCTGTGGTGGGGAGGATGGGGGCTATCTGTGAAATTTGAACTATGTTGGGAATAAAGGAAAGCAAAGAGGAAAATTGTGGGGGTGAGAGCTCTTGAAAATTTACGACATGCTGTGGAAGAAATGTGGAGGGGCAGGCGAGGTGACACCGTCCTTCAGGATCTGTGGCACCCCCCAAAACTGGTTAAACTTGGGGGTTAAACCACAGAAGCACATGGAAACAAATGAGAAGTGGGGTGCCTTCCGGTTGGTTTTCATTTTACCACTCTCACCTTGTAAGCAAGACCCCACAGGATGGGTCTCCCCACAAAAACGCACTTAGCCCCAAGGGCTAGAGCCTTCAGCACATCGTTGCCAGTCCGGATCCCACCATCCAGGTACACTTCAACCTTCCCTTTCACAGCGGCCACCACTTCTGTCAGGGCATCGATCTGAAAACAAGAGACAAGTGTGGCTCGAGGGACTTCCCTTTGGACTCTCAGGGAGAGTCCTGTCTCAGCGGACAGCACTGCCGCCTGGGTTTGGCTGGCTCCAGGAGGTCTAAGCTGGGGCAATGCTTCATGGTTCCATGCATGAGGCTGCAGGTGCTGTCAAAGCAGAGTAGCTACATTCCCAAGGCCCAGGGACTCTTTCCAGGCTACCCCCTCCTGCCATTTCCTGCTCTGACAGAGTTCAGGTGTTTACAGCTTGGAAGAAGCTCTTGGTATCTCTTAACATCCCCAAGGGAGCATTTCCCACTTGTAGTGTTCGCTTTTGTGTGCTGAGTCACTCAGTTGCGTCTGACTCTTTACTGCCCCATGACTGTAGCCCTCCAGGCTCCTCTGCCATGGGATTCTCCAGGCAAGAATACTGGAGCAGGTTGCCATGCCCTCCTCCAGGGGATCTTCCCAACCCAGGTATTGAACCCAGGTTTCTTGTTTTTCCTGTATTGGCAGGGAGATTCTTTAGCACTGGTGCCGCCTGTTCTTTTTATTTCATTTTATTTTTTACAAGCATTTTATATTGGGGTATAGCCAATTAGCAATGTTGTGATAGTTTCAAGTAGACAGCAAAAGGATTCAGCTATACATGTATCTGTTCACCCCCCAAACTCCCCTCCCATCCAGGCTGCACACATTTTAATGTTCTTCATTTTAAAGACAATTTTGACTTTTGATTCTCTTCTACCTTCTCTGCTTCTGAGGTGGAATGATTAGAAGTGTTCCCCATTGCTAAGGCCCTAAGTCTTTTTGGCAAAACAAGTGTGATCAACAGTGACCCTAGTGTCTGAACCACAGCCTGTTCCATGTAACTGGGCTGTAACTTATTCCTGACACATTTGAGCTACTTGTTCCTAACTCCCATACGGGTTATCTGAGACAGGGGATAGAAGGGCAGCAGTGACATTGTAAGGGCAGGGTTGAAGCGTTAGAAAGACAAAGCAAAAAATGCCTGATCACTCTGGCCGCCTCTCTCCATTGGATCTTTTCTCCTAGCTTTTCTCTTTCATTCCCATCTGTGTGGTCAACAGCCCTGTGGACCTAAGGTGCCCCAGATTGAGCTATGTTCCTGGGTACCTCCAAGTCTGTAAGAAGTGAGGGCAGAGTCTGGGGGGAGGGTCCTGCAGGAAAAGTTTCTGGAACTGCCTCAGGGCTCCTGTTCTGTCTCTTTGAGGAATGACTGAAGAGGAGCAGAATCTGCAGCGGAAGGAGTGGATTGAATTCTGCCCGAATGAGATCCTTTGGTGAGACTGAGCAGAGTATGAAATCAGGGAGGGAAGAGCTTTGTATTTTCCAAGTGGGTGGGTGAATTGAACATTTTGTTAACGTACATGTAAAGACTGGAGAGAATGTGCATCTAAATCAGGGTATTTTTACAGTCCCACCATGGTATTATTTGGAACGTTTCTACAAAAGGCTCAATAGCTGTGGCACTTGGGCTTAGTTGCTCTGCGGCCTGTGGGATCTTCCTGATCCAGGGATCGAACCCATGTCTCCTGTACTGGCATGCTGTGAGAAAGAAAGAAATGTATTTGTGCAAAGTCTTCTGCGCTGTGCCCTTAGTTGCTCAGTCGTGTCTGACTCTTTGCGAACCCATAAACTGCACCCTTCCAGCCTCCTCTGTCCATGGGGATTCTCCAGGCAAGTATACTGGAATGGGTAGCCATGCCCTCCTCCAGGGGATCTTCCAAACCCAGGGATTCAACCCAGGTCTCCCTCATTGCAGGGGGATTCTTTACTGTCTGAGCTACCAGGGAAGCCCTTCTAGTGAGCCATATTGGACAATGGAACTGGCAGTAGTTTAAGAAACACAATAGGGGGTGAATTTCAGCCTAGGGTTCATTCAGTATGGCTTGAGAGTTAGCTTTTGATAAGCTACAGTAGGGCATTCATTAGAGCCTTCTGGGGACAAAAGCTAGCTTTCCCCTGGTCCTGGAAGGAAGCACAGGAGTGTTAGATATGGAACATTACAGAGATGGATTATCACTGAGATAGTCACACCCCTCACAAGGAGCGACTGGGTTGAGAAGGGTGAGCAACTTACCCCAGGCACAAAATTTAAAGGGTGTCAAAAATATAAATAATATTTGAGTATAACGTTTACAAAAATCAAATGGCAAACTTTGACCTGCAAGCTGGGGGCTTGCTTTTATAAATAAAGCTTTATTGGAACCAGGTCCAGGGTTACAGTGAAATGAGTGAGGCAATGTTATGCAAGTGTAGGATCAGATCCTATCTTTATTAAAACTGTTGCTATTCACTGTGGATTTTTCTGCATTAATTTTCATTTTTCAAATAGTGCATGAAACTATTATTCCTAATTCAGTTTTTCTGGCATGTTCTTGAATTTTGAGCCAAGGGTGGGTCTCTCACTAGCCTCCCACTAATCTTGGTAATGTCCCTGGATGATCTTGGGTTTGGCTGTTAGGTCAGATGGCTTGGGAGAACAGGGTGTTGATCAGTGTGATGGAGCAGAAGAAACTCTTCTTGTTCTGGCACCTGCCTTCATCACTGCTCATTCTTTATTGAGGAAGTGCAGTGGGAAAATTAGTGGGCCACTTATCCCCACTCCTCTCTCAGAACTCCCTGAGGGAGCAAGACTAGCTAAACTGATTAATGAGAGACAGCCGATTGTATAATGTTCTATTAGTGTTATTTTAAAAGTCAGCATTCTACCCTGTTTGCTGCTGGTTGGTGAGGGGCTCTTTGCTTTCTGTTCCTATTTTCAGCACAGTTGGGTCAGCTCAGGACTTGCTGTGCTCTGCACCCTCTTCCCGTCAATTAGTGGATGCGTGAGAGATGGCTTTATGGTATCCTTGCAGGAGTTGGATGAGAAAGCTCAGCACATGTTCTGAAGACCTACATTCTCCTAAAGTCAGGAGTTGGGATGGGAAGTAGGAGGCTTGACAGTTCGCTATAGTTCAATCCGTGCTTGTTTGCTATGAGGTAGAACCTGGCAGAGAGGAGGAGGCCAGTGATTGGCATTTGAAACCTCCAAGTTTCATAAGCCTTGAAATGTATAAACTGGCTGATGTAGCTTTTTCTATTTCCTGTAATTCTTTTTAGAGGAGAAATTGAGAATGTGCTGAAGATTTCAGGATGGTCACTGATGTATTGTTTAAAAGACCGAACCCTTGGAAGCAATCCAGATGTTCAACAATAGGAAGCTGGTCGTATAAATTGTCCATTCATACTATACACCATTAAAAGCAAAAAAAGCGAATTCATTGAAGTAAAATGATGCTCTTGATATATTGATAAATGAAGAGAAGAAAATTACACAATATCATATATAGTTTTCAAACCTAAAATGTTACATTTACACTAAATTGATTATCAAACTATTGTCATTAATAGTAATGATTTTTATCTTAATTCTTTTTGTTTATGTATATTTTACAATTTACTTGCAGTGAATATGTCACACTTAAAAGACCAAAAAAAAAAAGAGGAAAAAACTCATTTCCATTTCTCAGAATGAGTCAAGCTGCATAGAAGAATCCCTTGAAAAAATACAAGGTATCAATCTCCATGAACATCAATGGACTTCCTTTAAAAATTCTTTCCCTGCCTCCCTGCTTTTCATTTTCTTTCCCCAGACTCCATCTCTAATGGACAAATTCATAAGTTAGGGAAAAATTTAGACTGTCTTGGGTTTTTAGCAAAGGATTCATAGGGAATTTTAAAGTTTTACTATGAAAGTTATTTGTTAGCTTAAGCGAGGCACCATTTCTTCCTGAGATATGTCATATGAGAAAATATGAGGTTCCAATCCATGCAGACAGGCAAACTTCCAGCTGAATGCTTCTTTCAGAAGGCAGATGACCTCTATGCCTTGGGAACAGCTCTTCTATCAAATTTCACCTTAACCACTTATTAACTGTGTGAACTCACAAGTTACTTAACATCTCTACAGCTTACAGTATCCTCATCTGTTAAGTAGGGATAGTAATGCAGGGCTGTTGTGCACTTTAGAGATGACATATGTTGAGTTTGTAAAAATAACCTGGCACACACTAGACTATTATTAATGATTAAAAGTCCTTCCAATATATACATATTACCAATACAGTTGGTTAGGGAGAGGGGAACGAGCACCAAGTTTCACAGAGTGCCTTGCTGTGGACACATACATACAAACGCACGTGCACACACACAGCACTTACAAAGACACCCACTCTGAAGTCATTCTACTCACAGAAGCAGGAACCTCATCAAGCTGCCTCCCACCATGGTTGGAAACAATGATGCCATGGACATTGTGCTTCACAGCTAACTCTGCGTCCTCTTTTGTCAGGATTCCCTTAAGGATGATGGGCAATCGAGTCATGCTCTGAAACCAAGAGAGATCTTCCCAGCAGATGGATGGGTCAATTGGGGACATTTGGAAATAAGGCATTGAATTTCCCTGCAGGGAATAAAAGAGAACCTTAGTCTTGAATTCCTTTGAGACTCTCATTCCAAACACGAGGCACATTTGAAAAGCCCCCATTGGTAAGCTTGAAAAGAGGAACCATAAAACCCAACGCTACTCCTAGCTCCGTTCCAAACAAAACTTTTGTTGAAGAATTTCTACTCCCATTGCTTATTTTTTAACCATTACTTGCGTCCCTGCTCAATAATTTTGCTAAGACCTGGGAACACAAAGACAAATGAGACACAGTCCTTAATTTCAACCCCCCCCCAAATCTCAGAGTTTATTAAGTGAGATAGATAAGCAAAAGCATTTATAGGCCAATGTGATTGTTGTTACTGAGATATGTACCAGGTAACAATAACTAAGCAATACTTCAATAATCCTAAGTCAGATATTGCGTGTCTGCTCAGTCATGTCTGACTCTTTGTGACCCTCTGAACTGTAGCCTACCAGGCTCCTCTTTCCATGGAATTGCCCAGGCAAGAATACTGCAGTGGGTTGTCATTCCCTTTTCCAGTGGCTCTTCCCCATCCAAGTATCAAACTCACATCTCCTGTGTCTCCTGCATTGGCAGGCAGATTCTTTACCACTGAGTCATTTGGGAAGCCCAAGTCAAATATTACCCAATATTTATCTTGGCTCACCATGTGAATCAAATATCTATAGGCCCCAAGGTGTCCCTGGAATCTGAGCTAAGATTCTAGAAACCCTCAAGGCCAATTTGTGGCTAAAGGGTAGAACTATTGAGTCACTTGTCTGGGTATTGCAGTTGCTCATTGGCTGAGAAGGCTGGTACCATTATCTCTAATGCAGTTAAGGGATTCCAACTTTACCACAGTCTTTTCTGTCTGGGACACTTCATCCCATTGGACTAAAGGATTTTAATGGAGGAAGTGCCTTTGTAGTCACCTTGTCCAAAAAACTACGCTGTAGCTCTCTGGTGCCCCATGGATGAGTTCCAGGCATGCAGAGATATTGCTGCCCAGTGTTCAACGCAGTCCTGCCCCATAGGCATGCACCTTGAATAGGAGCGTCTTCTTCAGATTGGTCTGTTTATCTATGTGTGATCGTTTTCTAAGTGTGCCATAAAGTAGAAAATGTTGGAAGAAACTTTTACTCTCCTGTTTCATGGAAAAAAAAAAAAAACAACTCCTTTCCCTAGCTTTCTTATTTCCTAACACCCAGCCCGGCCCAGAATACTTCTGGGGACAGGCTGGCCAGCTCCAGAGGTGAGAACAATGTCTTATATTCTGCTTGTCTGAAAGTCCTGAGCAGAAAGAACTCCATCTGCTTTTTGAACTGCTGCATCCTTAGTGCCTGGCACAGAACAGGCACAGAACAATGATTTCTTGAGGAAAGAAAGAAGAGAGGAAAAAGGGATGGAAATCTGCCTCCTGTTACACCTGCCCTCCCGGCTCTGGTATCTTTCCTACCATCTCAGGTGATCCGAGATCTTTCAACCATAAATTCTGCATCAAGTTGACTTGGTTTGTAATGTCATGCCGTCTGTTGCCAACTTTGGGTACATCCACAGTAATGACCAGAGCTTTGAAACCCAGGGATTCCACCTTTTGGATTAGCTGTTTGTTTATCTGCCGGCTCGGGTGCACATAGAGTTGGAACCACCGCAGGCCCCTGGGGGCGGCAGCAACGATATCTTCAAGGCTACAGCTGGCATACGTGCTGGTGATGTAGCAGATACTGGCTGCTTGTGCAGCTGCAAAGCAAGTGATACAGCTCAGGTTGGAGGGCAGCGACATTCTGAACTGGGGTAAAATGCCCTATAAGTCTGTGTTCCCTCTGGCCAGCTTGCCTATGAGTGAAGATAAAGCTTGACTTCATTCTTCTTCCCTATCGGGCAGGCATCAGAGCTGTTTGATCAGACTGTCTGGGTCCTCCACTGTATAACTTGTCTTATAAACTCTGTATTCCATTAAAATATTTCAGGCTAGAGATGACATTGAGTCCCCAGAACCATTTCCCAAAACCATTTGAACATGTTGCAGCTTTCAGATAGGAAATGGACATCTTATGAACCCATTAATGAAGCAGAAAGGAACTAAAGAAGGCAAAGGTTGAGAACATAATTCCAAGGAGAAGACTGAGCTTTGCAGTAGAAAAAGCATGCTCTCTGGAGTTAGAAGAAAACTAGTTCTACCACTTAGCTGTGTGGCCTTGAGTCTCTTTTTCTTTATCTGTAAAGGGGGAAAATGATAATAGCACTCTTATAGGGTTGTTGTAAGATTAAATAGGATACCAGCTATGGAAGTTTTTTTTTTTTTAAAGCTATGAAGTGAGGTACTGTACAAATGCTAGTAATAATGTTGTTGATGATGGTGATGATGATGATGATGGTGACAATGATGTGCCAGTTGCATCTTTCTCATTTCCCACTTTAATCATTTTCAGGGGATTCCCCAAGAGGTTAATGTCACTACCATTCTACAACTCACGGGTAGAGAATTGACCTCATCACAATTAATATTTTCAGTTCCTAACATCAACAGGAGATATCGCTTTCTCCTGCCCCAAACAACCCAACACCCTCAACCATGAAGATTTAGTAAAGCAGTCATATTCATACAGGGTATTCATATTTCAACTCAGCCAAATTTGTTCCTAACCAGATAGGTGTCACTTTAACTCTAGAATCCTTGGATTCATCACTTCCTATATCACAGAGTCAAAGGAAAAGACCCCAGGGAAGCCTTGGGCAACTTGAGAAAAAAAAGATTTGGTTTCAGTTGAAGATGACAAATGAATCCCAGGAATGTTTTTGCCCCTGCCTTTCCCTCTCTTCTTATTTTTTTGTGGTGGCGAATGAGGGAAGAGGCTAAGAGGGGACTAGGGAGAAGACAAAACCCAATGAAAAACTTTTTGTCAAATAAGATGATCAAATCAACTGTGGTTTTTTGGTCGTTAAGTTGTGTCCAGTTCTTTGCAACCCATGGACTGCAGCATGCCAGGTTTCCCTATTCTTCATTATCACCCTGAGTTTGCTCGAACTCATGTCCCCTGAGTCAGTGATGCCATCCAACCATCTCATCCTCTGTCATCCCCTTCTCCTCCTGCCCTCAACCTTTCCCAGAGGAGAAGAGAAATGGAACATTTGAACAAGAGCACCTGCCAGGCTCTTGTGTTAGGAGTAAGGTCATGACTGTCTCCTTGTCCTGGATTCAGAGAGTCGGCATTCAGCCCCAGCCCTGGCCCACTAGGGTTCAAAGAAAGGCCTCCCCCTTGTGGCCACACTAAGCAGCCCTTCCCGGACAGGGCCAGTGCCCCTTTCTTGGGATGGCTTGGTGGGGCTTTCATACTCTCCTATTCATCTGTAGCTCCCTCCCACCCTAACCATTCTTAATAATGGAAAACTGGTATTTCCTCAATCTTAGGTGAAAGGTTATACAAATGTAGCTTTAACCATTCCTTTTCCTACCCTTGATTCCAAGCAGGTTCATGTCCCTAAGCCCCTTCCATGGAGAAGCTGGTTGCCCCTGCCCTGAAGGATACCTCTGCACACCTACAGGGCCTTGGGAGGGGAGCCTCAAGGTGGGGGCAGCTCACACCTCTGGCTGTGCTCATTTCTCCATCAGGCCAGGCGATGCGGTGGAAACCTGTGGGTGCGATGCAAATGGGAGCGCTGATCTCTGCTCCTTGGATGGTGGTCCGCATGTCCACCTTAGACACATCTCTCAGATACCGGGGACGGAGGCGGATTCTGTGCTGGACAACAAAGAGATGTTCTGTTGGTGGGATCATTCTCCAGCATGACGGTGCTGCTGGGACCTCCGGATTCCTGGCACAGGTCTAGGACCTCGCTGGGTCCCAAGAAATCACTTGCAGGGTCAGTTGGCTGATGAGGCAGTATAGACAAGCAGGAGGCTCCTTTCTCCTGGGAAGCCTCTCCCAACCCCCTATTCCCATTACCCTGGCCTTCCCTGAACTCCCACTGCACATAGTCTTTCTGTTCCCTGCCTGCTCAATCAGAGGTCTGTGTCTTGGAGCCATGCCTCCATGACCAGACTCTCAGCTTGTGGAGGCCTTGATTGATACATCATAACAAGAACTAGAATGGATATAAATGAGCAGGGCATAGTTCTAGGCTCTTCTCTCTTAGGTTAAACACAAGTCTCTGTGTGTGTGTATGTGTGTGTGTGTTGCTCAGTAATGTCCGACTCTGTGTGACCCCATGGATGTAGCATGCCAAGCTCCTCTGGAAATCTTGCCAAGATTTCCCAGGCAAGAATACTGGAGGGGGTTGCCATTTCCTCCTCCAGGGATCATCATGACCCAGGAAACAAACCCAGGTCTCCTGCATTATAGGCAGATTCTTTACTATCTGAGGCACTACAGAAGCCCAGACAGAAGTCTCTATAAGGCAAGAAAAAGTCATTGCAAGAGGACAAATCCCAGAGAATGATCACTTTTTTTTTTTTTTGGTTAGAGGCTAATTCATTGAAGATCTGATTTAAACACTACTTTAGAAGAAAGTAGGGAAATTAACAAGTATTGATTATATGAAACACATTTGTAAGTCCCAACAGAGACTTAGTTAGCTTTGGGGTCCAAAGTGCTTGTTTTCCACAAAATACTATTATTCCTGTACATAAACTGAGAAAAATTTTTCTGGAAATGCTGATTGTGCAAACTTGGGTCAGAGAGCCTCAGTTACTTCATCTGTGAAATGGGAGTAATAATTCGACTTTCCTAATAGCCTTGTGAAGACACATGAGAAGAAACAATTAAAGTGCTTAATATAGTGCTCAACACGTATGAAAACACAGAAGGTAGTGTTCAGCTTGCATCCCATTTTCCAGTGTTTTCTGGCCTCAGTATCACAGAGGTCAGCATACATTTTCCGTAAAGGATTAGATGGTATATATTTTAGGCTGCGTGCCCTGAGGTCTTTGTCACAATCACTTGGCTCTGCTGTTGTAACATCACAGCAACCACTGATAAGATGTAGATGAGTGAGCATGGCTGTGTTCTAATACAATTTTATTTATGGACATTGAAACTGAAATTTCATATAATTTTGACATATTGTAATTCATTTTTTGATTTTTGTCAATGATTTAAAAATGAAAAAAAGCCCAGCCTTAGCTTGTGGACCATCCAGAAACAATGGGCCTGACCTGACCATCCAGAAATAGGCAGCGGGCCTGACCTGACCTGACCTGACCTGTTTACTGACCCCTACTTTACCACTGTTGTGCCAGCCCAGCTCTTCTCTTTTGAATCAATCTCCTGTTCTCCCCAAGACTCCTTGGGTCTCCATATTTCCTCCAGCGTTGAGCCCTCTCTCCTGTTATACCTCCAAGCCGAAAGTTCAGGCATTCAGGAGATTTAGGCTTACCCAGCTGGCTTCTCCTCCCTGCCCAGGGGGCTGGAGACCCTGAGACTGTTGTGCTATCTTTTCGAGTGGCAGAGTCACCATGATCAGCAGAGGATGACTCACTTGTGCTAGCTGTGCAGAGGCACTAAGACGAAAGTTCTCTCCAACCATCTTGTCCCCAGTTACCCACTCACCTGCGGAGGAAAACCCCCAAATCCCCACCACCAACAAAAGCCCATTATGATGTTTTGAATACTCTGTTCTTTGGAGGCAGAAACCAGGACTGCTACCTTCCAAGGAGCTTTCAACCTGTGCACCTTAGCTTAGCAATAGAAAGGATACGGAAGACCAGACTTTTTAAACGCTGCCATGTTCTCATCCCGCGTGCAGCAGTCATCAGCTCCTCCTTCGATAAAATCCCAAGTTGACTTAGAGAGGTGGTCCCGTGCATGCGCCTGGAAGTCTCTCAAACACACCAAGGGCATTTCTGGACCTTTAAAGGAAAAACCAAAACCAATCAAACAAAACCCAGTGAGAAGTCTTCAGATATTTGAGGAGGGTGAAGGGGTAAGGGTGGACTATAGCTCAAAGCTGTTTGGATTCAACATGAACCCCCATGTAATCTTCATCTCAAAGGAGGGGCTGCTCAGTCTGCTGATTCCCAGACTGAGAGCAGGGAGTCATGTTCCCCTCTTCTGTCCTCCCGACTCCGGCTCCCACTCCTGGTTATTGGATCTCCCAACTGTCCCTCAGGGCTGTCCCCTTGTTTCTAGGCCTGCTGTCTCAGGTCTTATTGAGGCCCCACCACCTCTTCTAAGATTATTATGAAAATTTCTCATCTTGTCTCTCAGTCTCCATCTCGTCTCCCTCCAGCTGCCTGGGGCCTTTCTAAAATGCAAGTCTGGTCATGGCTGTGGGCTCTCAAGTGCCCATGGCGTGGCATTTGCACCTTTCTAGGACCTGGCTCCTGACACACCAGCTTAATTTCTTGGTGGCTTTTTCTTGTCAGCTGAGTCACCATAAACAATTTCTGAACATTCTGGAAGGCTATTTCGTATCTCTGCCTTTTGGGAAGGAGATCCACCAGGGCAAGAAAACTGAATCTGAGCAGAAATCAGTATCTGGGAGTTCCCAGAAATCTCTGGGTATATGAATACATGGGGCAAGCCATTAAAAAGAATTCATTTGGATCAGTTCTAATGAGATGGACGAAACTGGAGCCCATTATACAGAGGGAAGTAACCCAGAAAGATAAACACCAATACAGTATAGTAACACATATATGTGGAATTTTAAAAGATGGTAACAATAACCCTATATGCAGGACAGAAAAAGAGACACAGATGTATAGAACAAACTTTTGAACTCTGTGGGAGAAGGCGAGGGTGGGATGATCTGAGAGAATAGCATTGAAACATGTATATTATCAAGTGTGAAACAGATCGCCAGCCCAGGTTGGATGCATGAGACAAGTGCTCAGGGCTGGTGCACTGGGAAGACCCAGAGGGATGGGATGGGGAGGGAAGTGGGAGGAGGTATCAGGATGGGGAACACATGTAAATCCATGGCTGATTCATGTCAATGTATGGCAAAAACCTCTACAATATCATAAAGTAATTAGCCTCCAACTAATAAAAATAAATGAAAAAGAAATCAAGGCTCAAACCATAAAAAAAAAATGAACACATGGGGCAGTTAGTTCATTATCTGGTAGGAAGCTGAATTTTTGCAACTCTGGCTGGATCCTTGAACATGATGCTAATTTTGAGCCCAAGAAAATGATACATGCTCTCTCCATTCATTCCTATCCCCTTATTTGAACCTCATGAATACCTGAAGCTTGGTACTTCTGCTATGACCATCCCCGAAAGAGGAAAGAGGGCAGGATTGGGGGGCAAATCTCTCTAGTAGGAATAAGTATCTACAGAGCTGCTGAAGGCACTGGTTATGGTCAGTCTCAGCATGTAGAGCTTCCACATAAGAGGATTCCACTATGAAGGGTGATGAAATCTGTAGTACATAGCTCAGCATATCTCCCCAGCAGTTGGCCATGGGGTGAGAGTTACCCAAAGGCTGTGGGTAGAAACTAAGTGCCTACCAAGTTATCATCTGAAGGATGTGGATAAGACCCAGGGACCAGCGCTTCCAACACTAATGAGGCAACTCCCTTAATGAATGATGGGACCAGAGAGGCCAGATCAAATGTGGGGTGTTGGGAATCTTGGTGGAGGTGGGGCTGTGCCAGAATCCAGTTAAGTCGAAGAGGAAGGTAGCCTGAACACCCGCCTGAAGAGCTAAGTAGAAAGTTATACAACAGACAGGAAACACCCCTGGGATATGCCGTGAGTTCTGCAAGGAGGCCTGGAGGTGGACTTTGGAGCACAATCACAGAGCTTTTTATGGACAGCACAACCTGCCACTGGGCAGAGAGCAATTGGGGTGCTGAGTTGAGTTTGGCAAAGTGCAGCAACAATGTCTAATTTATCTCATTCCTATCTGACCCTTAAAGGCTCAGTGACTTTCATTGAATGAATTCATCATTGTATTCATGCAACTGTATTGCAATCAATTATTTAAACCTCTCTGTGCATAAAAGGGTTAATAAAGCAGACCTGAGAATACTAGACCTCGAAAAGCTTGCATAAAGTTTGGACCTTGGCTGAAGTCTGGGAACTTGGATTTCAAGCGGGTTCCCACAATTTCCTGATAAGAATGTCTCTCTGGTCTAAACTATTTGTGCAAACAATGTGCTCTATGCTGAACATCTGCTTTCCCTCTGAGAGTCCAGAACTTTGGTACGGGTTAGGCAGACAGTGTCCCTGTGACCAGCTCCCAGCAAAAAACTTTGGGCACCAACTTTCTAAAACAAGCTTTCTGGGTAGACAACAAAGTGCCGTCACAGCTCATTTTGGGAGGAACTAACTGCATTGTCTGTGAGTCTACTGGGAGAGGATTCTTGGGAGCTTATGCCTGTTTTCCTCTAGATTTTGCCCCTTGTCCCTTGCTGATTTTGTTTTGCATTCTTTCACTGTAATGAATCATAGCCTCAACTGTCTACTGTGTCTTGTAGGTCTTCCTCGTGAATCACTGAACCTGAGGCCCCCCAACACGTTTTGCCTCCCCAAGCAGTGGGACAGTATGTGATGCTGAGTTGCTGTTCATAAGTGTTCGGTACTTGAATTTACTATTCCCCTGTGAATCATCTCTCTGCTTTGTGGGCTGAGAATTCATAATCAAGTTTCAACTCCCAGTGTCTCAACAAATCCCCATATCCTAAACATTACCCACTCACAGAAATGTTCTTCTGCAGACTTTTAGCATAAAAACTTAACAGTATTTGCTTCTATTCTAAAGGAAATGGCACAGCCTCACTCAGAATTACTCACCTAGAATAATATGAATAAAGCTGCTTAGAATTAAATAACGCAGCATCTTTACATATAGCAAGCAACAATTTTATCGAATGTCTATCTACTATTTCCTTTTTCACCTACTATTTCCTTTTTGCTTCCCAGTGAAATAGATGGAGAAGGTATTAGTTTCCTCTGAAGAGAATGGAGCCTGGGAAACAAAATACCTTGTGAAGGGTCAGACAGTAAATTATTACAGGGGAAGGCTCAGAATCATATCTTGGTAGTTTCTAAAGGTAGACAGTCTCTATTTTCAATTTCATGATACAGAGCAAAGTAGTTGGCTTACCTAAATTACTTGTTATACTGAATTTAAAAGAATTTTATAGAGTCAAAGTGTAATGATGGTGCTTCTTTATTTTCTTTTCACAGCATATGTAAAGTTTAGTAGAGTCGTGAGTCCGTAATTTTTATTAGAGGTCCAACATAAGGTGTATAACTGAAGAGAAGGACAACTGTGTTGTTTCAAGTTTTCCCTATTTGGGAAGGAAACTAAGCACTATATGTTTTTGTGTATTTCAATTTGACCCATACTGGCTTTAAAGCCACCAGAAATTAAAGGGAGGATCCAAGTTGTCTAACGGGTGTGTTTTATATTCCCATTTCATTTGATCTTTATTCCAGCATTTTTTTCTTCTTTTCTCCTCTACCCCAATTATGCAAGAGGAGGAGAAAAGGGAGAAAAGGATGAAAGTCTTTTGCTCACTAATCAACAACTTAGCTCATTTTAGCTCATTTCATCTGTTTAGCTTTTTTTGTCTAGGGTAAAAAAAGATGAGGTGCAACTTACATACCAGTAATAAGGAAACTAAAACCTAAGAGCAAGGACACTCAGTGGTACCTGTTGCTAACGACCTGAAGTTCAAATCTACCCGAGTGAAGGAAAGGGGAAGGTCATAGACTGGGGCTGGTTGGCATTTCAAGGCAGATTTTGCTTTCTTCAAAATTGCTAAGTGCCTACCAAGTTAGGCTATATAACGACCTGTCTTCCTCTGGAGTTTCATTTGGCTCAGATGTTGATGTCTCTTTAGGTGCTTTGACTTGTATGCACCCTGTAAGAAATCTTGGGGTGGGGGGGACATCACGGTGCAGGTGGCTGAGATTCAAGGGAGAATCTCAGGGCTATCTCAGATGACCTGCCTCCAGAAGCAAATGCTTGGTGTCCTTTAAGACCATTTGGCCTTGTCCCCTGGGAGATTATGCCAAGTTTCCCAATGGAGTGGTAGAGATAACATCAAGGCTACATGTTGGGAGCCTTGTTTGAGACATTACTCTGTTCAAGGTTGGCTGACAGTGCTTTAATCTCTTTGTGGGCGACTGTCTCAAGGACAGCGGCTGCAAAGCCTGGAGCCATTGCCATAGCAACGGTGGCATTGGAACCAGAGAGGCTGTAGCAGGAGGAGGCCCTGGTGGTGCAAGGTGTGGGGGCAGGGGAAGGAGGGGTCCTGGTTGCTGGAGCCACAGACATGTCAGGACCAGGAGGTGGGAATCAACAACACCCATGACTGAGGCAGGCGAGCCCCCAGGGAACCCTGAAATGAGAAGAAGAGGCCGAGGTCAGGGACTTGGATCCCTCTGTTGATGGACATCAGATGAATGGATACGTAAGTCGTGGTCCATGTAACACAATGGAATATTACTTGTCATAAAAAAAGGGAACGAAACTGGCTCATTTGCAGAGATGTGGGTGGACCTTGAGATTATCATACAGTGAAGTAAGTCAGGAAGAGAAAAACAAATACCAGATATTAACACATGCATGTGGAATCTAGAAATATGGTATAGATGATATTATTTGCAAAGCAGAAATAGAGACACAGACATAGAGAGCAAACATATGGATGCCAAGGGGGAAAGCGGGGGTGGGATGAATTGGGAGATTGGGATTAATTAACATATATACTCTATTAATACTATGTATAAAATAGATAACTGAAGAGAACCTACAGTAGAGCTCAGGGAACCCTATCCAGTGCTCTGTGGTAACCTAAATGGAAAGGAAATCCAAAAAGGAGAGGATATACGTATGCGAATAGCAGATTCACTTCACTGTACAGCAGAAACCAACATGATAC